GGAGGAATAGTGCCCCATCGTTGGTGTCAGTGGGAGGAATAGTGCCCCATCGTTGGTGTCAGTGGGAGGAATAGTGCCCCATCATTGGTGTCGGTGGGAGGAATCGTGCCCCATCATTGGAATACCATACTGAAATCAAATCTGATGTTTTTTAATTTTTATTTGGTGTGCGTTGGAAGAGGGGGGTAGCCTTATACGGCGAGTATAGCCCTAACCCTATATTTTAACAGGAAACATAGGGGGTCGTCTTATACGCCGGAAAATACGGTAAGTAAGATAACTATCTACATAACAATATACTGTACATAGACCCAAGAAAAGGAACATACCACATTATCCTCTGTTTTGTGAGTAAGCCAGCAAAATATCCCTCCTCCATCCAGCATGATTCCATATAGGGAGCTATTGATGACATAATGATGTCATTGTGCATGCGTGCGTGAGGATGTCACGACACAATGCGACGTCACGGCACACGCACAACTCTACAAACTGGAAAAAAATCATGCCCAGCAGTCTCCCGATAAGCCCAAGATGGGGGGGGGAAAAATAGACAACACCCAGCTCTCGGCCACAACAGGATCGGCGCCTCCTCCAGGGCTAAAACCATTTGTTGCACTAAGCAATCAAATGATGGAAAACAAGTGTGGGCATCTGGCTAAGCTGGATATTGACCGCACTCAGAATGGGACCATTGTGACCAGAGACCTGCAACATATATGCACATGTATGGGATATGCAAAGATGGCAGCACAGAAGGGGGGGGGGGGGGGGGGACTACAATATTGCCAGATATTGGAAATGGGAGTGTAGGCTAATTTTTATAAAGAAATCCCTTGCTGTCAGGGCAAAAAAAAATATACAGTACATATTTAATATATATTTATTTATTTCAGGTACTTATATAGCGCTGTCAATTTACGCCGCGCTTTACATATATATTGTACATTCACATCAGTCCCCGCCTCTGAGGGGTGTACAATCTAAGCTCCCTAACTTACATTCATACACATACTAGGGCCAATTTAGACAGGATCTAATTAACCTACCAGTATGTCTTTTGGAGTGTGGGAGGAAACCGGAGCAAACCCACGCAAGCACAGGGAGAACATGCAAACTCCATGCAGGAGGCACCATGGTTGGGAATCGAACCCATTACCCATTTACTGCAAGGCAGACATGCTAACCAGTAAACCACTGTGCTGCCCACATATTATTATTATTATTATTATACAGGATTTATGGCACCAACAGTTTGCTCAGCGCTTTACAATATAACGGGAGACAATACAGCAACAATACAGGTCAATACAAGAGGGATAGGAGGGGCCTGATCCTGGGAGCTTACAATCTAGGAGGGAGGGGCTAGTGGCACAAAAGGTAGTAACTGTGGGGGATGGACTGGTTGGAAGAGTAGAAGATTCCAGTATGAGCTGAGGGCAGGATAGGCTTCCCTGAAGAGATAGGTTTTCAGAGATCGCCTAAAAGTGAGCAGAGTAGGCGATAGTCTGATAAATTTGGGTAGAGAGTTCCAGAGGATGGGGGAAGCTCTGGAGCAGTCCTGGAGACAAGCATATATATATATATATATATATATATATATATATATATATAAATTTCTAGATCTTTTATCTATTTCAAGATCCTGAAAATAGAGACAAATATCTATTGAGCTTCCAGAAATGCACTCAGCCCCTAAGTCCTGCTGTGGGCTGACAACACATGAAATTTTTGTGTACTGAGCGGTGTCAACCCTGCCCAGTTTTCTCACATCAGACTACTCAGGACCACCTACTCTTCCACCTCCACAAAGTAGTCCCAAGATAAGGACTGGAAGGACCGATTTACTCTCCCTGAGACAACACAGGGGGTATGTACTGGACATAGGACAGCTCAAAATTTCTGACGTGATCAACAAGTATTTTTTGCTCTCATTGAACAGATATAACAAAACACTTTCATTGGTATAACAAGCAAAGCCAAAGGGAGCAAAATAAGAGACGTTCATTGTCGGGGTTTACAAACACTTTGATATGGAGGCCACCATTATTGATCTTTCTGTGGATGGATAGGCGAACCAATCTCAACGTTCAAATGAAAAGTGTTTATAGCTCCAGCTTTAATTGCACCTTTTGCCTCCCGAGTCTCCCTGTTGGTAATGTCTAGAGATGAGCGAATTATTCAAAAATTCGATTCGGCTGATTCGCCGAATGTGCAGGAGAAATTCGATTCGATGCAAATTTATTCGCTGCAAATTTAACTTATTAAAAGGGTTTCTAGGCTTCAGAGAGCCTTTATATTAGTGCAGAACACTGTACCTTTAATTTAAATGCCCTTGGAGTCTGCTGGGGAAGAGAGAAATAATACTGTCAGTCAGTATGACATGCAGATGAGTGCCGTCGATCTTAGAATCACCGCACACTTCACTCATTTGGGCAGTCACGGGGCACGACGAAGAAGAAGAAGAAGAAGAAGAAGAAAGAAGAATGAAAAAAAGAAGAAGAATGAAAAGAAGAAGAAGAAGAATGAAAAGAAGAATGAGAAGTAGAATGAAAAGAAGAATGAGAAGAATGAAAAGAAGAATGAAAAGAAGAATGAGAAGAAGAATGAAAAGAAGAATGAGAAGAATGAAAAGAATGAAGAAAAGAAGAAGAAAAGAAGAAGAAAAGAAGAAGAAGAAAAAGAAGAAGAAGAAAGAATGAAAAGAAGAAGAAGAAGAATGAAAAGAAGAAAGAAGAAGAAGAATGAAAAGAAGAATGAAAAGAAGAAGAAGAAGAAGAATGAAGAAGAAAAGAAGAAAGAAGAATGAAAAGAAGAATGAAAAGAAGAATGAAAAGAAGAAAAGAAGAATGAGAAGAATGAAAAGAAGAATGAGAAGAAGAATGAAGAAAAAGAAGAATGAAAAGAAGAATGAAAAGAATGAAAAGAAGAATGAAAAGAAGAATGAAAAGAAGAATGAGTAAGCAAAAAGTGTATCTGCAGAGAGCTCCGCTATTTCTGACAGTTCTCTGACAGTTCCTTCACATTTACAGCGGTTGAAACATTGTATCTATTTGTTTCCGAATAAAAACATCTGTATCCTAAATGGAAACAAATAGATACAATGTTTCAACCGCTGTAAATGTGAAGGAACTGTCAGAGAACTGTCAGAAATAGCGGAGCTCTCTGCAGTGACACTTTTTGCCGGCTGATCGGGGGGAAAATTCGGATTCGGTGCGAATCGAATTTTTCCTAATATTCGAAACGAATTCCACTTCGCCAAGTTCGATTCGCTCATCTCTAGTAGTAATGTCACCACACTTGTGCTACGATGGCAGATGGGACGTCTAGTGTTTTTTTTTAGATCTATGTACATATTTGCCAGCACATCATGGAGCTTTGAATCGTGTCCAAAAGTTTTACTGAAAGTGATCACATCACAGCAATAGATTACAACATTTCGGGGCTGTCTGGGACCTTTTTGCCAGGCAGGTGATGATCATAATATACCTGATGAAGGGGTCTTGCGCGGCCCGCTAAATGTTGTAATCAGGGCAAAGAGCCAGTGACGTTGGCTCTTTACCATGTGATCAGCTGTGTCCAATCACAGCTGATCACATGTAAACAAATGCTGGTTATTGAAAACCGGCTTTCCTGAGAGAGGGGACATTTACACTGATAACCAGGGCACTGATAATCAGTACAGGCCTATCAGTGCTAATCACTGCAGCATATCAGTACCCATCAGTGCAGAATATCAGTGCAGTCCATCAGTGCGAATCCACGTCCATGAGTGCAGCATATCAGTACCCATCAGTGCCACCTTATCAGTGCAGCCTCATCAATGCCCATCAGTGCCCCCTCATCAGTGCGCATCAATGCCCATCAGTGCTCCCTCATCAGTGCGCATCAATGCCCATCAGTGCCCCCTCATCAGTGCCCATCAGTGCAGCTTATCAGTGCCCATCAGTGCCACCTCATCAGTGCCCATTAGTGCTGCCTCATTAGTGCCCATCAGTGCAGCTTATTAGTGCCCATCGGTGCTGTCTCATCAGTGCAGCCTCATCAGTGCCCAACAGTGCAGCCTCATCAGTGCCCATCAATGCAGCTTCATCAGTGCCCCTCAATGAGTGCCCATCAATGCAGCCTTTATCAGTGCACATCAGTGAATAAGAAAACTTCAAATTTGTACAACAGAAACTAAAAAAAGGATTTTTTTTACAAAATATTTTCGTTTGTTTAGCAAAAAACAAAAACTCAGTGGTGAATATATTATGGTATTACCACCAAAAGAAAGCTCTGTCACAAAAAAAATTATACAAATTGAATCTGGGTACAGCATTGCATGACCGTGCAAATGTCATTAAAAGTGCGATAGCGCTGAAAGATGAAAATTGTTCTGGGCAGGAAGGGGGCGAAAGTGCCCGGTATTGACGTGGTTAGGAAGGGTTCATCTAAATTCGAGCCTACTGTATATAATCCACCCCAAAGCTGCGTTTTGGATCCATCCAGTCCTTCAATACCCATAAAACATCAGAGTGCAGCGCTTAGAAAAATAAATATGTGATAAACAATAACAGAGAGTCAATAAAGCATCCACAGTGTTTCACTGGAGAAATGCGAACTTCCACGGCCTTTACTCCTTCAAATAACAGAAATGCGCACTCGCCAGACACGCATGGGTTATGCGCATGTATGATCAAACATCCCAGGTGATAGGTACATCAAAGGTTAGGCAGCAGGCATTTCCCTCATGGTGGGTCATCACAGACTCTTTAGTCAGGTCCTTCAATACCCGTTATCTGTGGTGAAATCTCTACATCAAACCATCCCACATTTTTTACAGGCCAATGTATGATTGAGTTCATCTATTAAGGATAGAGAAGGAAAAGGAAGGAAAACCATTATATTGGTAAAAACATTGGTGAGCTCGTCCTGTGCTGCTGTTATCAGTGCAAATGTAGAAGTTTTATCTGCTTTTATTGGAAGGTGGACTCACACTTTAAATGGTTCTTTTTCAGCCTATTCCCTGCAATGTTACACATGCTCCATTGAAACCAGCAATAGCAAATGCATGACAGCGACCACCTGCTCATCTGGATACGACTACTGCATGACAAATGTAATAACTGCTACACTAGGTAAGACTTTACAAAAATCACTCATCCATCCAATAAAGAGATTCTCTACATACCTACTTCTGCCAACCACCTTGTGAATCTCCAATGGTTAGATGATACAAGCATCCCACAATAAAGCGTGTTGGTTTTTCATGGAATCACACACCATAAAAGACCCCCCCCCACACACACACTTTAGATGGATTTATTATTATTATTATTATTATTATACAGTATTTATATAGCGCCAAAGGGTATGCTCAGCGCTGTACAATATAGTGGGGGACAGAACATGAGACAAGACAGTAACAATACAATACACGAGGGGTTCGAGGGCCCTGCTCCTTGGAGCTTACAATCTAGGAGGGAGGGTTTATGTTAAGAACAGGCATCTTGGTCCCAATGTATCATGGATTATACACAATGGCCATTCTTAATCCTGCCTACTAGCAATGTATTACATATAGCTGACCTTGGGGTCAATTCAAGTCAGTCCCTAGCCCAAATCGCACTGCACCACACCAAAAGTAGTGCATGCACTACTTTTGTAAACGCACTGAAACTGGATCGCATGGCACAAAAGTACCGGTGCAGGCATGTGCACTGTGTTTGTGACCTGCATTTGGGGTGTTGTTAATTTAACAGTGACACCCGCTGCAGTTCGTGGTGAAGGGAACGTGCATGGAAAGTAGTGAGGGGAACGCGTTCTGGGGTTCAGCGGGCCCCTTAAATGTCTGCACACTCTCATGGCACCCCATTGTAAAATTAAAACAAAAGCAAAGTAATAGTTTTAACCCCCCTTGGCACTGGCGCCTACAGGCCCTTTAAGCGTTTCAGAAGCTGGGAGGCGGGGTGGGGTTTTAAGGTCATGTGACCGCCATGATTTGCCATCACAATGGTCACATGATCAGGAAAGGTCCTGATCGAAAGAGGAGATTGGGACCTTTCCGTGAGTGCCGGACATGTATGCTGGGAGCACGCAGGGCGCACGCTCTCAGCACATATGCTTTTCTTAATTGCACGCAAATGTGCGGCCGATCAGCGTCAAGGCCCAGATGCCAGGAGGTCGCACATTTGTGTGCGGTCAGCGCAAAGAGGTTAAGCAGCAGCATCTACACATCATGTAGGGCACCCGACATTTAGAGGGATTAGAGCGTACCTTTGCACGCTGGTACTGTCTGGTATTCCAACATTTCTCTTCTTTAGTTCCTCTCCCTCACGCAGCTCACATGACCCCAGTGCTGACAGAGAGGGGCAAAGGAGGGGTAAACAAGGCGCCCACATGGTGATCAAGGTCGTAATGCTGCACAATAAAAACCTGTGGCTTTGTGTAACAAAATAGGCAGGCTTCATCCATCCGCCGGCTTGTGGACAATATTTAGGGCAATTTTAAGGTACACCATGGTTGAAAAATGTTGCCTACACAAGCCTATGAGAATGCAAACACCCGATGAAATAAATCAGAAGGTTAACTGCGGGTCCAATGGACCTGTCACTGAATTCTGAATCATCTCAGAAGCGTCTCAAACTGATGTCAAAAGCGCCCTACATTTGCCCATGGAAGTCCTTCCACACAAGTCAGGAACACATAGGGAATCTTAGAAGATGGGGGGACTAGCTGGACTTGCACAGAAAAATTCAGGATTGTCTATAAATTCGGCTGCTAGATCTATTGATCTTTGGGATTTCACCGAAGGTCACCTCATCATATGCTTAAGAGGTACAAAGTCTCTAGATGTTAAGAGGTTACATAGTCCTGGTTCCAGGTTTCATCGAAGAAAGATATTTTACTAGCGTTTAAAGACTGTTCCATTTGTTCTGTCTTCATAGTTGTAATAACTTCAACCGTGATCTCCAAGATGTGTGCACCCACCTGCACACCCAACAGTACCACCATTTCTGGGTCTACAGATAGCAGGTCCTGCTGCACCACTGACCTGTGCAATACCAGCGGAGCCATCAGCATCAAGTCCAGCTATGCCGCCATTGTCCTGGCGCTGGGAATCATCCTGATTTTTATCAGTGACTCACTTCTCTAATACATGATGTGAGATAACAGATTGTCCAACCTGCATCAATAAAGCTGCTGCAATAAAAACCTTGGTGTTGTGAGCCTGTCTTTTGCCGTGTCTGTAATATTGGATATCAGGTGCCTGCATATAGGGCCCATATGATACCTTATACAAAAATACCTATAGAGCCATTTCTTCCTCTGAAGGACATTTTATGTTGACTATTAATTGACATCCAACCAGAAGCACTATACTTAAATGGTCAGCCACCCAATAGTGATGCACAAGTGGAACCCGGTGGGATAACATTTTAAACCCTGATGAAGGGAGTCTTTTCAAATCCCCAAAATGCATTGGACTGATTTTGGATGTTCTGAATAATAAAAATATTTGGAATTTAAGAGCTTCCACACCAAAATAATGGGGGGATCGGGGACTCAAACTAGATGTCAAAGAAATGACATCACCTAAATCCAATGCAAAAAAGAGTTGTGGCGTCAAGATATTCCTCAAAAATACGTAATAGTAGAATATTATTTATCAGGCTTTAGTGCTATTGAATAGTACATTTTACAGCTGAAAAGTTCCTTCTGGTTTGGTTGGTGATGAGGAATTTGCCAATTGGGGTGTGGTGTTGTCAGGATCTGGATCTGAACCTGCTACCTCGAGGTGTGTCTGGTAGTATCTCTTCTTGCTGAGCCCCCTAAGATGCTAATCAAATATTAAAGGCTATTTCAAAATTAAAAGGTATGTTCACAAATGCAGAAAGCCTGGCAAACAAAATGGATGAACTAGAACAGAGGTCTCCAAACATTCTGAACAAAGGGCCAAGTTTAGTGTCCCTTCAGACAGAGGGCTGAAGCATGGCCAGCGGAAGTAGAAAATGTCCTGACATCAGTGGGAGTAAACTATGCCCCTTCTTTGGTATTAGAGCGGGAATAGGCCCCATCATTAGTGTCAGTGGGAGGAATAGTGCCCCATCATTGGTGTCAGTGGGAGGAATAGTGCCCCATCATTGGTATCTTCCCCAAATCATTGGTGTCAGTGGGAGGAATAGTGCCCCATCATTGGTGTCAGTGGGAGGAATAGTGCCCCATCATTGGTGTCAGTGGGAGGAATAGTGTCCCATCATTGGTATCAGTGGGAGGAATAGTGCCCCCATTGGTGTCATTGGGAGGAATAGTGCCCCATCATTGGTGTCAGTGGGAGGAATAGTGCCCCATCATCAGTTGGGAATAGTGACCTGATCATTGGTGTCAGTGGGAGGAATAGTGCCCTATCATTGTATCAGTGAGATGAATAGTGCCCCATCATTGGTATCAGTGGGAGTAAACAATGCCTTGTCTTTGGTATTAGAGGGAGGAATAGTGCTCCATCATTGGTGTCAGCGGGACGAATAGTGTCCCATCATTGGTGTCAGTGGGAGGAATAGTGTCCCATCATTGGTGTGATCATTCATTTTTGTCAGTGGGAGGAATAGGTCAGTCAGCCCCATCTGGTATCAGTATGAGGAATAGTGCCCCATCAGTGGGAGGATAGTTGGGAGGATTGGTGTCAGTGGGAGGCCCAATAGTGTCCCATCATTTTCATTGGATCAGTGGGAGGAATAGTGCCCCATCATTGGTGGCCCCATGATCCCCTATTGTGGGAGGAATAGTGCCCCCCATCATTGGTGTCATTGGTGTCAGTGGGAGGAATAGTGCCCCCATCATTGAATAGTGCCCCATCATTGGTGTCAGTGGGGAGGAATAGTGCCCCATCTGTTGGTATCAGTGAGAGGAATAGTGCCCCATCATTGGATGGGAGGAATAGTGGGTATCAGTAGGAAACAGTGCCCCATCATTTGTGTCAGTGGGAGGAATAGCGCCCCATCATTAGTCAGTGGGAGGAATAGTGCCTCATCGTTGGTGTCAGTGGGAGGAATAGCGCCCCATCATTTGTGTCAGTGGGAGGAATAGCATTGGTGTCAGTAGGAATAGTGCCTCATCGTTGGTGTCAGTGGGAGGAATAGCGCCCCATCATTTGTGTCAGTGGGAGGAATAGTGCCCCATCATTGGTATCAGTGGGAGGAATAGTGCCCCATCATTGGTATCCTGCCCCATCATTGGTGTCAGTGGGAGGAATAGTGTCCCATCATTGGTGTCAGTGGGAGGAATAGTCCCGTCAGTGGGAGGAATAGTCTCCATCATTGGTATCAGTGGGAGGAATAGTGCCCCATCATTCCCATCATTGGTGTCAGTGGGAGGAATAGTGCCTCATCATTTGTATCAGTGGGAGGAATAGTGCCCCAACATTGGTATCAGTTGTGCAGCTCATCATTGGTATCAGTGGGAGGAATAGTGCCCCATCATTGGTGTCAGTCTGCTCTGCTGATAGGATGACGGGGTGGGAGACTCGGGAGAGGACACGCAGGGTGATAACTGCCTCTACTTTACCAAAGGTAGGACTGTGCAGGGGAGGCAAAGATTTAAAGGGGGCAGTGATGTTAGAGAGGAAAGGGGCAGTCATGACATCAAGGGGCATTGTGATGGGGGGGGTCGTTTGCTAAGGGCGCTGTAATATAATGGGGGCTGTGATGTCAAGGGCAACTGAGAAAACTGTAGGTCAGCTTTAAAGGGGGAATCATGATGTAAAGGAGGACTGTGGAGCACTTCACTGATATAAAGGGGGGATTGGGTTGTAAAGGGGAGTTGTGGTGTGAAGGGATCTGAGGACCGACTCTGTGAAGATCCCCCCGGTCCCTGGAAAAATTGGCTGCCACTAAACTGGTCCCTGGTGCCAAAAAGGTCCAAGAGGACATCTTTTTTAAGTTTATTTGCTTGTAGAACTGGTAACAGGAGAGGGAGTGGAGTGGTATATGATACTCCAGAAATACTGACTTGTGACAGGAGGACACACAATCCACAATTTCTTCAAACAGTCTTTTAGCCAGAAAGAAAGGGGAGGACCAGAGCCGAGACCTTATAGAAGCAGTCTCAGAATGAGTTACAGCTGGCACCCCAGAAGTTACATAGTTACATAGTTAGTCTGGCTGAAAAAAGACAAAAGTCCATCCAGTTCAGCCATTAAAAAAAAAAGTTATAATCCTACACCCACAGTTGATCCAGAGGAAGGCAAAAAAAAACCCAATAAAGCACGATCCAATTTGCTCCTGCAGGGAAAAAATTCCTTCCTGATCCCCCGAGAGGCAATCGGATATTCCCTGGATCAACTTTCCCTATAAATGTTATATCCAGTTATATTCTGTGTATCCAAGAAAGAATCCAGGACTTTCCTACAGCAATCCACTGAGCTGGCCACAACCAACTCTTGAGGGAGTCTATTCCACATTCTCACAGCTCTCACTGTGAAGAAACCTTTCTGTGTTTGGAGATTAATTTATTTTCCTCCAGATGTAAAGAGCGCCCCCTTGTCCTCTGTGATGACCTCGGGGGGGAAAAGCTCTACACAGAGTTCACTATATGAAGTAGGACAGCACAGTCACTAAACTTTGAGCTTGGGACAGTACTCACAACTGAGTAGGCAGCTGCACACCTCCCAGCTTCCACCAGGCACTCTTCAGTGAGTTCTCCCAACCAAATCCTTAGCTCCAGAAGAAATTATGAATAGGCCCCCCCCAGCTCAGCCATAGCTGGGACCTCGATGTCCATCAGCAGACTCCAGCAGGATTGTCTCAAAAAGGCAGCAGCCCCTAAGGCTGCAAACGTCACCAGAAGGACAAGACCCGGGCTCCTCCAGACTCCAGATTATTTATATTCATCTCCAGCCACCTGCTGGGTACACCTCCCCAGGGAATGGCTGAAGTACAACAAATAGCACAATCAGCAACCACTGAGAAGCCTGGCCTTGCATGTAGTCAGTGGAGTGGCTCCCTTCCTGGCCTTCAGGTGTAGTCTACAAAGAGTTGTCGATAAAAGCTGGTGGGAGGACTAGTGTTCTGCACTTTCTTTTGAACTGTCTGTGAGTCCTGGACACAGTGGTCACTGGCAGGAAAGTATAAGAATGAAGCTTGCCTCCATTGTGGGGCCCCGCTAAGTCAAGATGATCTACAGTCAGAAGGGGGCGCTAACCCACATGCTAACATACTCCCCAAGGGCTAAATACTGTATGGAGGATGGAGACCCTGCAACTTTTCTCATTAGAACACTGAGAGTGCAGCAGGTGATTATAATGAACCAGACCTTCCCAATCAGAATCAGTCTTCAAAGGACACAGGGAAACAAACAGCTGTTTCTTCAGAACAGAAAAGGGTAGTGTAAGGTACCACTAGCACTCCACTAAATAGGCATTCCCAGAGCACGGAATCTAAGTCCCAGGGTGCTTGTTCACCAGGGCCCCTGATGGTGGGGATGGACTTGGAGCACCCCGAGACCAGGTCGTGGCTACTGAGTAAACCCGTCAGTGGTAGTGGTATACGTCGAGGGCTCCCACAGGGAAGAGCCTGATATGAGGAGGTCTGAAGACCCCACTGGGAGGGAGGGAGGGACGGATGGATGGCTGAGCAGGTGCAAAGTCAGACAAGCCGGGTCGGTAACAGAGAGGACGGTACGGTACAAGGCAGCGGGCAGAGAATAGTCGGGTCACACGCCAGGTCAGCAACAGCAGGTCAGATCCATAAGGGGGCATTCAAGAGAGAGGTCAGGCAAAGCAAGGGTCAGGGCAGGAGAAATACAGCAAGGTCAGAGCACAATCCGGGTCAGCAACTTACAGTTCACAGGTTCACAGGTACAGGATACAGGGGAGACCAGAAGGCACTGAATGACAGCTCAGGGCCATTTAAATATCCCACCCTGCGCTGCCGTTGGTGCCCAGCGGGCGGCCGCGGCTTCTACTGAGCATGCGCGAACGCCGCGGCCGGCCGCCCGGACCTAGTGCCCGTGTCCCTGCACAGGGCGGCGCACTGCGCCTGCGCCGGGACCATCGCGGCGGGGATTGAGGAGATC